CCCTGCGATCCATCGCCCCAAAGAGGTAGGCCCTACCCACCCATCTGGGGTTCCTCGATGGATTGTCCCAAAGAAGTAGGCAGGAGCCAGGGGTCCCACCTCCAAGCTGCGCAGAGCCACGGGACCCCCAGGCCTTGCCGCACAGAGGCCTCCGCCAGGCCCCACCCCCAGGCTGGGCCATGCAGAGGCCTGTGGACCCCTGGCATAGGCGTGTGGAGGCCTCCGCCGGGCCCCACTCCTGTCTTCGATGTTGCAAGTCCCCGCCCACCCGCGTCTGCTGCGTACACAGCCTCATGCTGATCGGCTGTTATGCATGAGGGCATCCCGATCATTTGCATATTACCCTTTTATTAGTATAGATATATTAAAAAAGGATGCTTTGGAATACTATTTAGTGAAAACACGTTAAAACATCTATATATATAAAAGCCAAGTGATTGTAATGATGGAATGACTGGAACAATTGGAACGACCGAATGACCAGTCACTATGACGTGCACTGTGGGGGCTAACCAGCCTGATCGGGGCCCCGATTGGCCCCTCTCAACCTCCCACGGCCCCTCCCCCTGGCCAGCCCTGCCCCGATTGGCCACCCCACCCCAATTGGGGGTGGGGCCTGCCGGCCAACCTCCTACAGCCCCTCCCCTCAGCAGGCCCAGTCCCCACCTGTGCATGAATTCGTGCACCAGGCCTCTAGTATTAGTATAAAAACCATTTTCTTTATAGACTATTTGACCACAAAGGGAAAACCCAAAGTGACCCTAACATGGCCTCCTTTCCATTTATAAGGTTACAAAGGAAGTTGGTTTGTTACGATGCCTTCTTACACTTCACTCTCTCTCTTTTTAAAAAGAGATGGAACCTGTACCTTTGTACCAATATCGAGAGGCGCATGATTTCATTGTGTCTGAATATGGGCTCTGGGACTAATGCAACTGTGGGTACAGACCACAAGTCACGATGATCCAGAACAACTTAATAGCATCTACAACTTTCTAAATGCAAAATCGCTCACTACATTTTTTTCTTCTCCTCCCCCTCTCACCTATAAAAGCTAAAAGGGTAGCAAGCAACCCATTAAATAAACAGTAGGTTCTCATAGTAACACTGAACATCTCTATTTCCCTATTTTCATCTTAGAGGCTAAAATTTAACTTTTTCCTTTTTCATAAAATATTCAAGGACTTCACAACACACTCCCGAAATGCAATCCTTTTGGAGTGAAAACATGGTAACCAGCATCGCCAGTAGCACAATAAAGGCATGTTTTCAAGGGAAAAATGAATAGTATCAAGTTGAAACTTTGAGAGGAATTTAGACCAGAGGAAGGTAACTAATTGTGAGAGCTGTGCCCCTTGATATAATGCTGGCACAAACATCTTAACAGGATCAACCCACCTACTAAATGCCTTTGAAATGTGGGGCTGCCACCTAACGCCAGCACCTTCTGTGTGACCTCTCCTGTGGATCCAGAAGCATACGTTGCAAGACATTAGCTCGGAGGTAACACAGTGATTATTTAAATTTTGCAGTTCCTCTCCTTTTCCTAAATTAGGTTATTCAATTGTATAATCCAAGTAGGCCTCTCCTAATTCTGTGTGCTACTGTATTCTCAGAACTATAGCAAGGGAGAACAGCATCACACCAACAGACCCATCCTCCCAGTGTGGCAATTCTGTGACTAAGGAAGAGCCACTTTCATGTGGTAATAACAGAGCATTCATCATCTCCAAGCTGCTTTCAATGCCACGTGCCTCAGACCTCTGGACACAGCACAGTTTAACTAACTCGCAAAACTGAGAGTGAAGGCCACAGGACCAATCGGCTGATATATATGGAGCAAAGAGCAGAAACACACCCACTTCTGCCCACGACAAAAATATCAGCAGGTAAAATGAATAAATTAACCTGGCCTTATTGTCAGCATTGTCAGTACAAAGACTCTGGAAACTTCAAAGTGTGGTTCAATTTAAAGGGGATTTCATGACAGAGATATTTTGTGAGTTTGGAAAATTTTTGATTAGAGGCCCTTAAATCAGAGACCCATCAGCAGCAAGTTCTGTGCACACAAGTCGAGTTGATGGGACTCGTGTGTCATCTGGAGGACTGAGGAGTCTCGTCCTGGAGCTGTCGTTTATGCCAGCGACTGCTTCCACTGCACAGCAGGCTCCAGAAGGCACAGGCGCTTAACAGGCTCAAAGCAAATGCTCAATTCTTAAGTCCTAAGACATCAAGTGCACCTCCTGCCACTTCTCGTCCTGACAGAGTTTTAAAGTCCCTCCGCCTGGGCCATTCTGCCTGCTGCTGCCAGGCAGCATGCGCTGGTGACACTGGTCATGGTGCACACCTAACAGGCTGACCTCCTTTCTCGGCTAATTGCATTACAGCGCCAGCTGGCTCCAGAAGGAGTCGTCTGTTTGATTGAAGAATTCCTGCTCCTCAGCGGGCCCGACTGCTACTTTTACTAAGTAACAGTCAGGCCTGACATCCCCATTGTTCAGCTGACAGTGTGCCCATCCTAAAATCTAAGTTTTATTTGTAAATTAACCAAGAAACTTCCTGCCAGAACAGTGCTGCCTGGAGACTGATAATGTGGGCCTTTCATCCCTTTTCACTCGGACTGTATCACTGCCAATTTGTTTTTTATGCGGCTGGCCAGCCTGAGGCTATAAAAGCCTTGTAAGACATAAGTGCAATTATAGTCCTGGAGTCAAATGAATTGGATAAATCCAATAGCACAGCTCTGTCCCCACTCTGCAAACCCCTACAGCAGTTAGATTAGCTGTGAAAAATCTAATCTAGCTGGAGCTAACAAATTTCAGCAGTGAAGGATCAAGAGTTCAGGATGGGGTTGCAACCGGATTGCAGAATTGACAAAGTGCCCCCATGATAGGGGCAGAAGAGACCATGCATCACTTTAGAATTTTGCAGCTCATTTTTAAGCTGTTAGGGACAATTTAGTTAGAATAAGATAAGAAACGGCGGGCTGCTGTTCCTGTGACTGATTTTTAGTCTAGCTGTGAGACATCCTGATAAAGAGAGTGTGTCACTAATGATGCTGAATCTTGGAGCTGCAAAAGGTATCAGCTGAATTTTGATTATTACAGTAGGGAATCCTTCAGGCAGGCCAACCTTTGGAACATTATTTATCGCATGGCATATCATCAAGAAAACACCATGTCTTTTCTCAAAAAACACAATCCTACTTTACTTAGAAAACAATTTTTAAAATTTTTCTATATACGCCTATCTTTTAATAAAATAGTTCTCAGTCATGAATCATAGAATATGGTGACACATTTTCAGAATAGCAGCAATTTACAAGGAACTTAGAAGGGAACGAATGTGTAAACCCCACCTGGGTCTTGGTCATCTGAAATCGATTCTCTGAGGGCAGGGTCCCCTTCACTGAGAACACCACAGCCGGGGCAGCCATCAAAACCTAAGACGTGGAGACAGCTCCTCCGTGTCTGTGGGAGCCAGCCCACGGCCAATGGGGGGCCATGCTAGCACGTGGCCTGGGAGTGAAAGCCCATCAGGCTTTGTGCATCCTAGACACTCGGTCACGGTGAGATTTGTCTGTGATTGTGCCGAGACCAGAGTGCTGAGGTCTCGTGGGAAGACTCACTGCTGCCACCATGATCGTGGTCCAGAGTCAGCGGCTACAGCAGTCAAAAAGCAAAACCGCAGAGGAAGGAAAGAAAGCGGGTAGAGTGAGGCCCATCGGCCAATATCAATCATCTGCCTAATAAACCAGGGGAATAAAAGAATCAATTATGCTGATGGGCAATGATGAGGGCTCCTGTCAGAGATCTTACCAGGCACTGTGCTAAGCAATTTTACAGGCCTTATCCATTTACTTCACAATAACCCTGTGGCATAAGCTATATTTTAAATGTCATTTAATAGATGAAGAAGCTGCGGCACAGGCTAGTAAAGTAACTGGATATAAACCTGAGCCCAGGTCTGCCTATCTCCAGACGTGCCTATCACAAACACACCAGAACCCAAGGGCCAGCCTTAGTCAGCATCTGAGTGACCCGTTTTCCAACCCATCCAGGTGCTGTCCTCAGTTCCTTGTAGGAAGAGAGTGTGTGTGAGGCAGGAATTCCAGGTGCTGCCACTCATTAACAGGCCAGTGGACGTTCTTCTCATCGGGAAACTCACAGGAGTGGGTCAGATTTCCAGGCTTCCTCCCCATTCAGGTGCACCTCACTTCTAACAGAAGCCCCCCTGAGGTGAACATCCAGCCGATTGGAAAGCACAAGGCCTGTTCCCCTGGGGGTGCTGCCGAGGGGGTGGGAAGGTTTCCTTTGAATCTAGAGAAAACTGCCCACAGGGCCAACTTGAAGGGGAACCAAGGAGAGCGCCAAAGGTGGGACACCTGGCCAGCAGCACAGCTGCACTTCCCATCTTCACAGCCACTGCCACCCTGCCGCACAGCTAGCCCGAGAGGCGAGAGGCGCTGGCTTTCTCAGGGCTCCACTGGTTCAGGGTCATTACATCTTATGACCTTTGCCAACAGGAGAGGTCAACACTGTCACTTTCTGTCAGTTAACAGGCATGTGAGGAAATATCCAAAAGTAATAACATTAAAGATTCTTCCTAAATCGTAATCACAGGATTTAAGACTCAAATGATTGATTGCTTTTCACCTATTTCTTGATCTAGTTTGTGCCACGCCGAATATTTCAGATTAACTACAGCTGTAGTTAGAGAAGAGGGACACCGAGGCCGCATCCAGAGTTAGCTGGTCTCAGTGCATGCTATCCATGGCCTTTGTTCAGTTCCAGGAGAGCCCACCTGCACCCCAGGTCCTTACCTTTTTGGTGAGTGAATCATCTGAGTCTGATGGCATCCGAGTGGAAACGTGGAAAATCACTTCCACAGTCGAGGTAGCATAGTAAGGGGCGGTCTGTCCTGTGCTGCCGTTGCGCTGAAGTCCGCCCATGAACCCACAGTGGGTTGAGAGATCCACCTGACCCAGGTCACAGAGGAAAAAGAAACAGGTTTTAAACATTAGCTCTTCTTATTCACTAAGAAGGAAAGTGCATTTACAAAAAATTAATTATGTTCATTTCTATAGTTTTCTAACGAAAACAAATGTAATACAAAGTCAGACAAAAATTGAAATATTAAAGAAACATTAACAATAAGAGTGTTCCATAATCTTATCAACTTAAGAAAATAATTATCAAAAGTTTGGTGCATATTTGTCTAACTTTGTTTCTCTGACTGTGTGTGTGTATGTGTGTATGTGTATGTGTGTGTGTGTACCGCTAGTGGTATACACACACACACACACACACACACACACAGTTTCCCTATTGATAGTTTTATGGAGTTTTCTGAAGGTCAAACCAGAGGAGCATTCAAAACAGTGTTTCTCTAGGATATTGAGTCAACAGGTACAGATGGTTCAAAATTTAACAGTCATTGCTAAACTGCCTTTTAAAGTGTTGTTTCAGGTTCTAAGATGGCTGGAGAGCAGGTGGAAGCTACATTCTCCTGCTCCCAGCATGCTAGCCGAACTGAAATATTATAACCAAGGATTTACAGAAGATGCCACATAGAGTCTGGTAAGAAGAGCAGAGATGTGTAAAGGGCTGGCCCTCTGCACCTTGTGTGGTGGCTGAGAAGCCGGAGGGATATCCTGACTGCAAAACTCCCTCCCGCCAGGAACAAGGGGTCTCAACCCCATGCAGGGATCCCTAAACCAGAGCAACAGAGATGGGAAGAGAAGGCTGCATAAACAGTAAATAGCATCTGGAGGTGAAAACCAGTGGGGATTCAGTCCACCTGGGAGAGAAGTGAGTTTGCTAGAGACCCAGAGGCCACTTTTCCAGGGTGAAGCGCTCCTATTGTTACTGCCCCATCCTCCAGGTACTGGCAACACTACTCTGCTGTCCTCGGGTACTACAGTGGGGTCTGCTGGCTGTACCCAGTGGGGACATATGGGGGCTCTTTTTCTGGAGAAGCTCTTGGTGGAGACTCAGACAGTGATTGAACTGTGTAGCTTTGGAAGAGACCACTTTCCCACCTATATCACACAGTCAGTGGGGCTCGGCACTCACCTGTTGAATCACTGGGACTGCCTGGCCACTCTGGGGCCCCGCCCTGCTGAGTTCAGTCCCGCAAGGGGGATCAGAGTGCCTAGCAAAGCTGGGATTTTCAGAGTGTCTCCCAAGGAAGATTTTGCCTGGAATCAGCCTGCACTATCCTGGGAAGGGGAAGAAGAAGTGCCCGCCCCCTCCTAGTGGTTTGCAGGCAATACCTCCATGGGAGGTATTGGCTCTCCCAAGTCCCAGTGGCCTTGCCCAGCTAAGCTCAGTTCTGCAATGGGAAGGGTGTGCTGCTCTAACATTTGAAATGTGTTGCCCCAGAAGCTATTGTCTGGGACCAGGATGAAATGCTTGGCCCCTTCCTGCAGGCTCAGAGGCACCATGCCCAATAGGGTACTCTTATGATCTGTTCTACCAAGCCCCAGAGGCTCTGCCCTGTTAAATTTGGTCCTGCAGAGGGGACGGCTGCCTGCACCCAACTTGAGTTGCGCTGGGGTGATCCTCCTGGGTGAGATAGAGTTGGAGATGGGCTGAGACTGAGTAGGTTGGCTCTGCAGTAGGAGCCACTTTGCTGTCACTGGGTGTCTGACTGTGCGGTCCCCAAGAAGGAGACCCACTAGCCCTGTCTCCCAACATAAATGTATGCACAGATGTATATAAATGTACATATGTCTGTCTGTCAGAGTATCATTTAGAAAAGCACAAACAAAATTTTCATTGTTAATCATCCTGGGATCTACCCTAGAGAAATAGGTTGGATAGCTAAACCATCATGGTTACTATATTCTATTTTCATTCCAACATTTGACTTCATCCAACTCTTTGTCTGTTCACCCATCAAGTTACTGATTTCTTTTCCATTCTCTAGGGTCTTCTCTTACCACAAACTGTCTATGGTTAGGTGATCTGAGCTGATCTGACTATGCAGCTCTGATAAAGAACAAATGAAATAATATTAAGAGGAAAGTTAAGGGAAACAAAAGTTCATGTATAAAGTACTGAAAACCAACTAATAGAAGATGTCAAATTCATTACATTCTTGTAAAACCATATACCAGTGATGGTGAACCTTTTGAGCTCGGCATGTCAGCATTTTGATAAACCCTAACTTAACTCTGGTGCCGTGTCACATATAGAAATTTTTTGATATTTGCAACCATAGTAAAACAAAGACTTATATTTTTGATATTTATTTTATATATTTAAATGCCATTTAACAAAGAAAAATCAACCCAAAAAATGAGTTCGCGTGTCACCTCTGACACACGTGTCATAGGTTCACCATCACTGACATATACAATCAATGTCTAGTTTATATACATCTTTAAATAATGCTGGTCAATAAATACCTACTGAATGAAATTAATTACCTCCCATCCAAGTCCAGCAACAAAGTCTTCATATGCTTGGCTTCCTTTTTCATTGGAGAGGATTGAACACTTGTCTTCTTGACCTTCAGCAATGTAAAACACTGCAATTTTATGCGTTTCACGGCTATAAAAATTTAAATTTAAAGAAGTGAGAATTTTTAGATATCAAATCTTATTTTACAACTACCACCAGCATAACTCCTACTGAGAACTTACTAGGGGTCAGTCACTGTTCTAAGAAGGTTCCACATATGATCTCGTTTACTCTTTGCAACAACCCTACTGAGACGAGTATTATCATCTTCACCTCCCTCGTAGAGGTTGGTTGGAGGAAGCACAGAAAGTTTTTAAAAAGCACACATACCAAGCAGGAGACGGGGAATTGAAGCATTGAGATCACTCTCTCAAGACAAATGATATACTTAACAGCATGTTACAACACACTACTTGACAAGTTCTCTCCACTTAAATATATATATCTTTGAATGCATTTTAAACAGATATCAATTGTGAATAGATCCATGTTACCACCCATATTTCATTTTCTGCACTTCCAGCTGAGGATATTGGGTAGTTCCATAATTGGAACTGTAGAACATGCCTCACAAGACTTTATGAGAAACAAACTTTTTCTAAGCAGAGCAAACTTAGATATTTTCTTTGTGGGGGTATATACCCACTCTGTGCTCTGACTAACCTGAGGGCGCTTAGTAGGGTGTATAACTATCTAGCAAAACCTCTTTGGCCATATAAGAGGTTCATCCACTTCTTCCATGATGGATTTTGGGCACATTGCTATTAAATCCTTAAACATAATATGCACATTGAGGCAAGGATCCCCTCCTTTTTACCTTTTGTACATTTAGTACAGTCCTTAGCACATACTAGATGTCCAGTTAAATTTCTGGTGAACTGACCAGAGATATGATGGTATATTTAAATGTATTAGTGACCAATTTCTATAAATTACACACTGGAATAAGTGTGTAATTTGTGAAAAGTATCAAAATAACTGGACTTATTCCAAGCAATTCAGAGATAGTTTAGAGATGAAGATGTTTTTCATTGAAACAGAACTTTAATCAAGTATTGTTCACTCCACTCTCTCATCATCCGAGGCACTCTAGTTTCTATCTTAAAATTTGGATTACCACTTCCAGAATAGTTCCATTCCTCTCCTTATTTTTGCATTATATTCTAAAAAAATCTCATAGAAAAAATTATCAAATGCTTAAACAATATGAGAATGTTTCTACTGTCTAACTGTTTAATATCTCGACATTGTAATCTGGTTAGACATCCGTACTGGTGAAATTTGGGGATCATATTTTAATATATTTGCAAGTACTTCCTTCTGAAGTTGTTGTTTTGTGTGTGTTGTTTTTTACTAATGAGCAGAATGAATTGGAACTCAACCAAAAAGTCATATAAATAAATGTGTGAGGAAATTACTCTTCTATTTATCCAGATACCTTATTCATTTCCCCCATAGTTTACATGTAATAAGCATACAATGAAAATTACAAAATTTAAAAAATGACAAAAACTTGTTATTTCAATATATAAGCAAAGAACCTGTTACCATTTTTTTCTATACAAAAATGAGCAGCTACTATATTCTATTTTACAACTTTTTTTCACTTAAAGTATTTATGAGTACTTTATTGTATAAAATATACAAAACATACAATTCTCCATGTAACCATTTTTTAGTGTAAACACTTTAATATCATGCTTTTCTATAACTACGTTATTTAATGGTTGTATAACATCTCATTACATTAATATACCACATCCCAAATCCTCATTATACGACATTTAGGTTGCTTCCAATTTTAGACATGTTCACATTGTCTTTGATATGTCCTTAAAATAAAGTCATAGAAATGGAATCCTGATCACTGCCTATTTGTAAGGCTTCTGATGCTTACTGTCCTGCTGCCGCCGGAGAAGGTGGATGCTCTGAATGTTCTGACTGGGCTCGCATGAGCACACACTTGGGGGTGCTTCTCTTGATGAGAACAGGTGTTATGAGGAGAGGTGAGTATTGTGGGGATGGACCCCTGAGGCTCAACGCTCTAGGAGAGACCTTGTGCTTCAAGACTATCTGAAAGCTTGTCCTCATGCAGCATGGAGCTCTGAAAGGTGACGCTGTTTACTCCCTGGGCAGCAGGCAGGGTGCGCAGGCAGCCTAGAACCTGGCTGGCTTATTCTTAGAGCTATAACAATTTGGGGGCTCGGATGATAACAGAGATCATAACCATGACCTAAAACACTGTCTCTTTCGGCACAGAAGAAACCAGTATAGTTACTCAATTTCTTCTGGCAGCTCTCTCTTTTTAAAAAAAAGTAGTCAGCATTCAATTTTTTTCTATTCTATAGACTTTACATACATGAAAACAATCTTAGGTTTATCAAGCTTAAGCTTTTTACATTGCAGCTGCTCAGAGATTCTTGAGTCTTCATTAATTCAATGTGGGAGCACAGGGCACTAAGCCCCAATGACTGCCTGACTGGTATAGGTGTGAGGAAAGGTGATCTTTAGTTGTAAACATTAATCAAATTTCACATCCTCTAAAATGTTAGCACCACAGAGAGCCTGCAAGGATGCAGAAGCTGCTATCTGGCCTTATTAGAGCCAGGCTTTTGAAATTATAATTAGCAACATCAACAGCATTTCATATCCAGAAGCTGCATGACCCATGCATGAAGTAGCAGGTAATTCAGCAACACACATGCATAAAACAACCATTTCCTCTTCCTCATTAGAATGCATTTTTCTTTCTTATTAGGAATAGGCCAGGATAGCTCAGTTTCCCAGTGCTGTCACATTAAAAAGCCAAGCAAAGGAAACAATTTTAACTTTCACCTTAACCACGGAGTGGCAAGAGGCATTGATATTTAAGAGGGGAACACACTGTATGTAAATAGTCATCACACTATTTACATCTTTGCTAACTTCCGAGGATATAGGTGATAGTTGCAAGATAGCCCCTACTTTTCCCAAGAGCATGCTAAGCAAGAACTATGCTTTGAGCAAGGAGAGAAACTGATATAAAAAATAAATGCAGCCCTAACTGGTTTTGCTCAGTGAATAGAGCATTGGCCTGCAGACTCAAGGGTCCCAGGTTCGATTCTGGTCATGGGCATGTACCTTGGTTGCGGGCACGTCCCCAGTAGGGAGTGTGCAGGAGGCAGCTGATCGATGTTTTTAACTCTCTATCCCTCTCCCTTCCTCTCTGTAAAAAATCAATAAAATATATTTTAAAAAATAAAAATCACCATTCTCCCCTTTTAAAAAAAAAAATTTAAATAAATAAATAAATGCAAACATCCAAATTGAAAGTTGAGGAGCATGGTGTGTTACCTGCTTACTGACCAATACACAGGACAGTCTAGGTTTCTCATAGCTAAAGAGTCCCTGACTTATTTCCACTAAAGAAAAAAAAAGGTGATACTTTTTTAGATGTCAAGAAGGCACCAGGAGTTGTGGTTTTTAGCAAAGGTTAATCAAGGAGCAGAGGATTTGCCAATCAGCTCTCCAAAGCCACATTTACTGCAACAGCACTCCAGGGAGCTAATTCAATTGTACCTCATGCAACTGAAGTGCATTAACACACAATTACAAGATACCAACGTATTCACTTAATACTAAGAAGCACCAAGTAATTCAGCATATGCTTGAAAAGCTGAGTTTGGAACCCAAGTGACTGCTTGTCTAACACTGGAGGACGAGAGGGAGAGGGAAGCAAATCCCTAAGTCCTCCAGAAGAAATCCCTCACAGAGTCTCCTAGAGAATTCAGTCTCCATTCCTCTAGAGCAGTGGTCACCAGCCAGTGGTCCGTGAGGTCCGAAAGGTTGGCGACTGCTGCTCTAGAGAAAAGAAGCACAACAGCAATTGGGAAACTGAGTATGATGAAGGGCAACGTGAGGAATAATGGCTTCAGGTTTTTCATCTCTAATGAGAAATCTAATGATATTCTTAAGGGAAATAGAAGAAGAAAAGCTATTTTTTAAAGTGTTTTTAAAAAACTAAGATGAAGAAAGCAGTTTGTTCAAGGAGCACGTGCTATGTACCAACTACCACACTTACTTTACTGGATGTTTTTGGAAGCATACATTTCCCCAGATCAAAAACTGGTTGTGAGCTCATGTTTAGAGTTGCTTCTAAGATTGTTTGAAAAAAATGGGAGATCTGAGATTTGACCAGCTTTGGAAAATGAGGCTTACTATTAGTAAGTTACTAATTACAACAAACTGGTTTTAACCTTGACAACATCGTGGAGCAGCAATTTCATGGGGTTCAATCAACACAGACTGAGCACGGGCAGGATAATCTTTAACCTAAGTAAAGCTCTGTTCCTCATCAGAAAAAGAGATTAAATGAAAAGGAATGTCCACTGGCTACCTCATGAAAGGTCCCTGATCAAAGGCACAGATTAGGTGGGAGCACCGAACTCTTCTTAGTGTAGCAAACATGTGAGCTTACTCTAAGGGTAAAAATAGCGAAAGGATGACGTGTGCAAATGTCAGCAATTCTGCCTTACAGAACTACCTTGGGTGTTTCCGCAGGTGTATCTGTCATCTGTATCTGTCATCTAAGCACACACAGACAGAAAGGAAGGAAGTGGTGTGATATACTGTCACATACCACTGACGGGAGTCCAGATTTTTTAGTTCTCTCAATAATTTTGAATTTTTCTTCAATAGATGAAAATTCTTCCTATAGAGAAAAAGGAATGGAAGAAAAGTCATGTAATCACAGACCAATTTTGCTCTTTCTAGTCAATCAACTGGCAAACTTATCCATCATCCATCCATTCACTCATCTACCCATCTGCTGCATTAACAAAAGATTTGTGATCAAAACCACAGAATGAACTCAATTCTCCTTAAGGCATTCAAAGGCATCAAAATTCCACTGCATCCCGTTGCTATCCAGGAAACTGGATGGCTCTGTGGTAAATGAGTATGTGACTTGTGTGTGTGTGTGTGTGTGTGTGTGTGTGTATGTGTGTTTTCACTGTTGGCTCTACTATGTATCTCTTTCCCCCACTGTTGTCCTTAAAAACCCCATCAAATTATTAGCGGGCTACCCTCTTCCACACAGTCTTCTCCACTGAACCACACTCCCCACTGGATTTAACTGTGTCTCTTGAACTACTATGCCAAGCTATCTTTCATCAGAAAACGTTTGATAGCTTTTAAAACGTACACCAGATGCCTGGAATCAACCTGTGCAATCAATACAGGACAGTTTCTAGCTAGCTTTAATTTAGCAGCAGAAAAGTTGTAAAGGCTGAAATTGAGAAAAATTTCCATTTCTGTTCTTACTTCCCCCAAGTCCAAGCTGATAAAAAAAGAATTCACACAAAAATAACAAAATAGGTCTAGGGTGGATTGTTACCTTCTGTCCCAAGAATTCATTCCCAAGTCATCAAGCAGCAACCTGCAGAAATAAAAGGGTCCTCGGGGCTCCACGGGTGAGGGCTGCTCCTGGCTGGTGACTCTCATGGCCGAATCGGAGTTACTCCTCCGAACATGCTCGGCTTCTTGTGCGTTCTGGCGCAAAATGACCTCGATGATTTCCTTCTCTTGGTCACGATTCATTCCACATGGGGGTAGGGAAGGCTCATTTAGATTTAACTGCGATGGTAAAAGGCATTCAGGACTTGTGTGGCCAATGTTTTCAAGTAATTTGTCGAGGGCATCCTCTCCCTCCTCAGTTTGAGAACAATCTCTCGGAGGTCCAAATGTTTGATGATGCCAGCCCGAAATCAGAAATGAAGGATTTCTGCTGTTGAGTGCTAAGCAGCCTTCCAAAGGTCCATACAACACCTTCCCATCCCAAGAGTACTTCCCTGAGATGTCCCTTACAATGACTCTCACGTCCGAGAGAGCCCCCGCTGGTGAGCCGCCTGCCAGGCCTTCTGTGGGAGTCTGGAGGTAGGAGATGAGGGTGCTGTCATTAAATACAAACAGCTGCAAGTTCGGGCTCCTGAACACCTCGGAGGAGAGCTCAGAGGCTTCCGCGTGTGTGTTGTCGTGGTTCTCACTGACCAGGCTGTGCAGCACGGCCGGGCCCCCACGGAGGGGGAAGTGTCCCAGGTGGTTCACCAGGTGGGCCATCACCCTGCGGGCAGTAAGAGGGATCAGCTCCAAACTTCGTCTCTTCCTCTCTGTGAACAAAAGTAAGGAAACATAAAGATACAGTGGAGAATGAAGATGAACACTGAGCACCACCAGATGTCAATCTGTACTTAGACTATTTGCTTTTTTTTAGTCTGAGAATCTTCTGAACCTACTTTGTTTTTTGACACATTCTATATGAATTTAAAGGCACAGTTTAAATAGATTGCTAAAAGAATCAATTTACATGAAGATTTCATTCTGAAAGGGGCATTTAAAAGTTTGCAGAGACAACAATAAACAAGAGAAAGGTCCTTGTCCTTAAAAAGGTGACAGTTCAGGAGCTCTGGGAAGCCAAAATCTGCAGTTGGAGAGGATGGCAGAGCTGAACAGCTGGAGGCTGGGAGCAGGTGGAGGCTGGACCAGAGAGGTTAACTCGCTCCCTCATTAGAATAAAGGCAGACACTGGTAAGAAAATAAATCCAGCCTATGACTGCTTAAATACGGAATTCAGTTGTGAGTATATGAAACACAAAATTTAGACTTGTATTATTATTTATTAATTATTGTATTATTTTCCATACCAACAACTGTAAACCTGCTTATGCCCCACCCTGTATATTTTGCAATTGGGTTTAAGATCATTGTGACAATTTATGTTTTGTTGTTAGGGCATTTTAAATTTTTAACAGAATCTGATGTATTAGTAATTTATGGAAATGCTTAGAAGAGTTTAACTAAATTTGTAGTTGATGATTAAATGCCCAAGAGCAACTGATTTACAAAATTTTCAAGACTTCAAATGTACAGAAAAACTGAAAACGGCATCTAAAACTGGGCCTTGTAAAATGTTTGAGGCAGAATGGAGAAGCAAACAAACTAAATCCCTGAGAATGCATTGAGACAATCACTTAACCTTGAGATCAGTTAGAGAGTTTCATCTACCAAATTCACAAAAAATTGTGCATTAATCTAAGAACAAAAAATGATACCTTTTAATGTGAACAAAAATAAATCACTAGATAGTAAAATAAACTAAGATTTATAATTTGGGCTTAAAGGTTTAGGAAATACTTGTTTTCTAAATTCACAATATAAAAATTAAATATTAATAAAAAATTAATTAAATATCAATAAAATAAAGTCAATTGATTAATTAAATTAACAAAATTACTTTATTAATTTAATCTAAATCCACAAGAAAATTAACTTTTTCATACTAAACATCCTCTCTCTCAGACACTGAAAATCCAATTAACTTATTTATAAAACACCTATTTTATGATGTATAAATCCTACAAAGAAACAATCAGGTCCTAAAATCTAAGAAATTCTACGTGATGACTGAGGGAAACAAAACTGTCCAGATTTTTCTTGGATTTCTTTTTGATTCTCTTTGCTTTTCAATGAACAAGATATCATCTGTGTTTAATAAATGATCAAGTCAAAGAATGCTGTACACTGAAAGAAAAATGGTACCAAAACTTAAAGGTGCATTTTTAGGTTTATCCTTTTCCACTAACTTGCTAATCTTCTGCTATTTTCAAGTGATGAATCATAATAAGTGGTGAACCAATTTTTATGACAGTTATAGGGATGAATATAAATTAATAACTTTAGGAAAAAGTAGATTACTTTTTTTTATGAGACATGGACTACAAAGGTAAGAAACAAAGGAAACAGATAAAGGGTCATTTTCTTTAAAAAAATATGGTTTTCATTTACAATTGTGTGGAAAAGCAAACAGTGAACTCCAGAAAAAGACAATTACATAATTAAGTAAAGGGAGGGTAACAAGAAGATGAAAAGGTGCCACACACCATCCACCAGCAACACAACTCAAAATGAGTCTTTAGTGTATTCTTGCAAAATATCAGAATAACTAATATGAGGTTTCTGGAACTTGGTCATTAAACCTTAAATTCAAATCCTACCTCCATTACTTGTAAGAAATAATACAAAGGGATTCCAAATATCCTTCACCCCAATAGTAGCATCTTACATAGCTATAGTTCCATATTACAACCAGAAAACTGACATTGAAACAATTTAATACTCAGAGTTCACTAGATTTACATACTCATTTGTGTGTGTGTGTGTGTGTGTGTGTGTGTGTGTGTGTGTGTGTGTTGAGGGGAGGGGAGGTTGTGGGTCTATGCCAGTAATGGCGAACCTACGACACGTGTGTCAGAGGTGACACACGAACTCACTTTTTTGGTTGATTTTTCTTTGTTAAATGGTATTTAAATATATAAAATAAATATCAAAAATGTAAGTCTTTGTTTTACTATGGTTGCAAATATCAAAAAATTTCTATATGTGACACGGCACCAGAGTTAAGTTAGGGTTTTTCAAAATGCTGACACGCCGAGCTCAAAAGGTTCGCCATCACTGGTCTATGCAATGTACGTATAGATGACACAACCACATTTTGACTCACATTCCAGAGATGAGCTCTTGTCATTCTGGAGAGAAGGTTGGTTAAGGAGGACATACTAAGCCCTGAAATGGCCCCTATGCTGTGAACTGAGCTATCCTCAAACTGTGGCACGTAAATTCCCATCTCTCTCTTCAGGATGCTCTCTTAGTCTGGAACACTTTACAATCTTCTTTCAGAGTCTGTCCGTCCCTCCAAGTCTGGCTTTGGTCCTTCTCCATGGGAAACAGCTATGGTGCTACCAGCCCACAAATGAGTCCTTGTGTATTAATCCTGTCTCTCCCGTTAGATGTAAAGCTCCTTGGGGATAGAAAATGAACTGTTCTTGTGGGTCCCATGGGTCTGAGACATATGGTTCTTCAATAACACAACATTCAACTACGGTGAGAAAAGGAAGGGGAAGAGAAGAAACAGAGAAAAAGAGGAGAAACAAGAAAGGCAGAATTTTCACAGAGAACTCTAGAAACCAGGAATTCAACAACTGGAATCAAAAACAATACAGCAAGCATGGATAAAAGGCTATAATCTTTCCTTTTCCTGCCCACAAAAGTTAATATTCTGAAAAAAATCTCACCCTCTTCAACAGTAAGCAGGTTGCCCAGTTCTGCTGATGAGTGATATTGGACTGGCTCAGAATTCATCACGTTTGCCAGTGGCAGGAAGGGGTCATAATCTGAGGATGACAGGTCAGCCAGGGTCAGTGTGTAGTGACTCTGTTGGGTGTATGTGCTTGAGCCACAAACACAGCAGTGCAGAACCTGTGAAAAACAGAAGGGAATGTGTGCCACGGATAACTCTCTGTCCCTTAGGACAGCGGTCGCCAACCTTTCAGACCTCATGGACCACCAGTGGTCCACGGACCAACAGTTGGCGACCACTGCTCCAAAGGTTTCCTTAAACCAGCGGTCACCTACCTTTCGGACCTCATGGACCACCAGGACCACTGGTTGGCGACCGCTGCCTTAGGAGGTAGGACACTTGCTTCATAATACTTGAAAACATCAAATCCTTTTCATTCTAAAACATAGTCTTGCTATTAGCAAGTTTATTTGTTCCTTTCACATCAATGACAATAAATACATTCTCAAGTTAAAAAAAAAAAAGCAAAAGTAAAAAAGCGCCTATTTTGCCATTCTGTATGGTTGCACACACCTAAGTCCTGCTCCAGTCCACCCGAAGCCACATAATTAGTAGAAGGAAGTAAATTGGGAGACGAAGCCTAGCTATTGCATAAGCCACAAGATAAACAACCACCACCTATAGTGGATGGCAGAATACAAACGACCAGCAGAGATTGTTAGCATTTCATAAGCGTTCATGAACTTGAATTAGTATAATTCACGTCCCCAAGAATTGGAAGGGCAAATTTAATACAATTTTTAAATTTGTGATTAATGAAGTAAGTTTAATACAAGTTTTTAAAGTATTATTATTATCACAAGACCAGTTTCCTAAAAGCTTACTGGCTGATTACCAATTGCTGTTGACTGAAGCTCTATAAGCCATGCAAACATAAATCATCTTGTGTATGCCCAAATGTATGAGCTAATAACTATACTAAATTTTACTTTTTGATTATAAATTCAAAATTATAAATTCAAAAACCTAATTTTTATGAAAACCAAGGTAATACTCTAAAAAGTAAGGAGACATCTTTGGGCTAAATATTTTTATATGCAGTTAATTAATTTATTTATTTAAAAATATTTTTATTGAACTCAGTGGGATTATATTGGTTAATAAAATTATATAGGTTTCAAGTGAACAACTCTAGAATACATCATCTGTATATTGTACTGTGTGTTCAACACCCAAAGTCTAGTCTCCTTCTGTCAATTCACTTTTAGATGACGACCTTGGATTTGACCACATGGCAGGAGGCCTTGTTGTCGGGCTGGACATCTCCCCGTTTAGTTCCTTCTACTCAACGTTGCCTCTTGGGAACTGGAGGAGGACTTGGGGGTATGTAGTCTTTGTGCGCAGCTAAGAAGTACTGAGAACCTGTAGTCAGCTGAGGACTCTCACCTAAGTATGTCATCTTCCTAGCAGAAAAGCAGTACAGAAAAATTATGGTAGCTTTCTTATTAATATAAAAATTGAACTTCTGTCATTGAGAGAATTAATTTCTATTGGTCAAATGCTATAAAAATAAGAAACACACATTAAAACTACGATGCAATACTACTTCATACCTACCAGACAGCAAAGTGTTAGTAGCTGCAACTCTCAGACACTGTTTGTGACAGTGTAAATTAACACAGCCACTCTGGAAAATTACTTAGTTTTTACCACTAAAGCAAAACATATGTATTCCAGCAACTCCACTCCTAGGTGTACACCCAGCAGAAATGCATACATATGTGTACCAAAAAAACATACTAGAATAGAATGTTCACAGAACTTTCGTTTATAGTCCCAAATTCTAAACTACCAAAATTCCCATCAACAGTTGAATAAAAAATAAATTGTGGTTTACTCTCCCTGTGTAATACTAAATAGCAATGAGAGTGAAAAACCTACAACTATTCACAATAATATAATGAATCCCTCGGAAGCGATGCTGTGTGGAGACATCAGACACAAAATGACATACTGTATGCTTCCATCTATGCAAAGTTAAAAATCGGCAAAACGAATCTGTACTGTGACAGTATAGTGGTTATCCCTGTGTGTGTGTCGGGGGGGGTGGGGGGATGGCTAGTTATGAGGAGGAGGCGCAGTGGGAGCATCTGGGAGGCTAGGAATGTTCTGTTTCGAGAGTTGGGATCAGGTTTCACAGGTGTGCTTACTTTGTGAAAATTCATCAAGTTCTCTCTTATGATTGATGCAATTTTCTAGATGCATTTATACTTCAATAGAAAGTTTCCTTTAAAAATACAATGAAGAGTTATTCAATAAATTTGTGAATCGTGTTAACTATGAGGTGACTTTTATATTGGTAAAGCAATTTTAAGAGACATCTTTAAAAAAAGGAGATGAATTTAAATGATTGTGGCTGCTTTAGTGGGTCAAGCCAGCCTCAGATAGGTTTATAAAGCTAACATAGCAACCAAAATCTTCAACTAGTGAAGAATCTATTTAAAAATACACAATACTTTTTAGTAGAATTTCAACCATGGTTAAGTGATATTCTTTTAATTTAATAAATTTTAAAATAAAAGTAATCAGTTAATGACATGGAATCTTTAAAAAAAACTATTATTAAAGGTCCATTACCAAAATAAACAAACAACAGAATTGTCCTACATAATAGTAATTATTGAATGGACACCAAAATGCTAAATAAATAAATAAATAAATAAATAAATAAATAAGGCCATCGCAGGACAGACTGAAGTCTGTGTAGAAGGACAGTCTAAAGCAGTGATGGCAAACCTTTTGAGCTCGGCATGTCAGCATTTTGAAAAACCCTAACTTAACTCTGGTGCCGTGTCACATATAGAAAATTTTTGATATTTGCAACCATAGTAAAACAAAGACTTATATTTTTGATATTTATTTTATATATTTAAATACCATTTAACAAAGAAAAATCAACCAAAAAAATGAGTTCGAGGGTCACCTCTGACACGCATGTCAAGGTTCGCCATCACTGGTCTAAAGGGTCCAGAGCAAATACCACACCTAGTCATGAGTATGGGGTGAAATAGTACCATATTTTAAGTACTATAAAATGATGACGGTAATTATTTTGATGTGATACATTTCATTAATTTATTTCTTAAGATCTTTTAAGAGATTACTGGGACCACTATACTTTTTTCTTCCTTTGAAAAATAGATTTTCTCAAACTAAAGCTATGGATATTCCTACTATATAAACAGTTCTGTTTTAAGTTAAGTAGATTTGGACCATGTTCCGTGAAAACTGGGGGATTTGATCAAACCGCAGTTGTTTAAAGATGACAGTCATGTGAAAATGCATGCATCTTTCACATGGTAATTATTGCTTCTCTACAATTATATCTGTCCTGTTTTCCCTCCTTAAATTATTTGTTTCTTTTAGGTTCCCCTCCCTTCCCCCCTTGCCCTGCCCAATAAATCTTTTCAAAAGGGCATTGATAAATAGGCAAATGCATAAAACCTATTTTGGTGATTCTCTGATGCTTAAGCCCATACTCCATGCCCTCCAGGCCGAACTGAGACTCACTCTGTAGATGTAATCCAGCAAAGGGGCTCTGCGTGAGTGCTGCTCCTCCAGGGCCGCCGTGGACACCGGGCGGAGCAGGGCGCTCACTGGCAATGCCATGCACCAGTCCAAGAGGCAGAGGAGCAAGGACACAATGAACTGGAAGAGAAAACAGGCCCAGTACCTTACACTGCAGTCTTTTAAACTTCACTAAAGGCAATAACAAACAACAGAATTGTCCCTGCATAACAGTAATTATTCAATGGACACACAAAAAAGGAATAAATGAATAAGTAAGGTTTTCACGAGGGTTAACAGAGAAAGATATTCTAGAGGATATCCCTGCATGTAACACTATTTATCATTCTGTTTTACATTTTAAAAAAACAGACTCTAAGGGAAACTTAGCCAGTGTGCCACCTACCTTCTTATCTGTTTCCACTGAGGAGTACTCTGCACTTGGTAAAAGAAAAGCAATTGTGGCCACAAGGATCTGTATAAAAGAAAAATCCTCGATCAAATAGACCATAGTGATACTTTTGGAAGCCATATGGTAAGAGTTCCATGTGGCTTCCATCCCATTCTGTTGGTGGCAAAATTGGGGGCCCCAGAGAAAGAAATATTTATATCTGCAGTCATACAATTTCTATCTTCAGTCTCCACACTTGTGTAGAAAGCAAAAAATATTTTCAAAAATAGTTATGAAAATGCTCCCATTTCGTTTTCTTATAAATGACCCAGCTCTACACTGTTTTCCTAGTGTCACAGCACTGTGTTATTTTCAAAAGTCTTCTATGGAGATGTAAATTATATGGTTGCCCTAAAACCCAATTCCATTTTGCAGCACCTTATATTCCTATGTGCACAGTTCTATTTCACTCTAGGCCACTTAAGGTAAAAAATCACTTGTGATATTTGATGTATCTCTGAGAGAACAAAGTGATCTCATTGGTGAAATTTGTCTAGGGCTGAGAAAAAAAAAATCAAGATCACTCTCCCTCTAATACCACATGGAAACAAACCACATTTCCTTAAAGAGTTGCCACTGGAGCCCTAACTGGTTTAGCTCAGTGGATAGAGCATCAGCCTGCGGACTCAAGGGTCCCAGGTTCGATTCTGGTCAAGGGCATGTACCTTGGTTGCGGGCACATCCCCAGTAGGGGGTGTGTAGGAGGCAGCTGATTGATGTTTCTCTCTCATCGATGTTTCTAACTCTCTATCCCTCTCCCTGCCTCTCTGTAAAAAATCAACAAAATATATTTTAAAAATAAATAATTTAAAAAAAAAAAAAGAGTTGCCACTGGATGTTGAAGAACAGGGCATGTTTTAAAGAGTACTGCTAAACAAACTGTCAGGAATGGGTGTGCTTTACCACCAGGCCCCTACGGGGGGAGGGTACCTGCTCCTGTACAAGCAAGCATCCCCATTGCAACCAACCTCCAGGACATTACGCCTGAGACGATTCTTCCTGGTCTTCTGTCCCTCTCCTCCACCAGTTACCCTCACAGAGGGTATTAGAGCAGTAATCTCATTACAGCTGGCAATCACGCTATGGCAGAAGCACAGTCCGGGCCTTCAGTCTGGGAGAGACTCCTGGTTTTACACAGCAGTCCCCCACTTCCCCCCTGCTCCTCCCACCACACACAGAGGGCATCCTAACCAGCTGCCTACTCCTCGTTGGCACCATCCAAATTACTCTGGATGAATGAAGCCCAGGCTACAAAGGTCTCTTTGTTGTGGTTGTGTCTGCCTTTCAAACTCTCCAAGTGTAAGACTCTGCCCTGGAACACTGGTGGCTTCTCTACATAGTGCCTGAAATCACAGCCGAGGACCAGTGCAATTCAACCTTAAAACGAATGACTTGCGTGGCAATTAATAGTCCGCTCTCTAACAATTAATTGAGTATCTACAATCAATTAAATATCAAATATAGGGTGTCCCCAAAAATGTATACACACACTTTGAATAAAGGCAGTGTTTATTGAAATACATTTCATTTTGAAAATCAAGCTATCAGCTGTTAAAGTGTGTATACATTTTTTTTGGCGGGGGGGGAAATGCTTATGCTTCAGCATTACAGAGACTTACTTCTGCAATCTTCAGAGGCAGAGAGGTTTCAAACGTCTGAAGCTTTTCCCAGTAGGAAACCAGCAACTGAAGAACATCACAAGCTGCCTGAGCCACGATTTTGTTAGGAAACTAGGAAAGGAAACAAAACCCCAAACTGAATAACCTCACTTAACATGCACATTACTACTAAGGAAGAACATAAGTTATTTCTTTCTAGCTCCTTTTAGAGATATATTTCCTTGTTTTGCTTTATTTTTTTTTCTTTTTACTGAATTTATGAGTGACACTGGTTAACAATTATAAAGGCTTCAGGTACACAATTCCACAACACATCATCTGGACACTGTATGTACTGTGTGTTCACCGCCCCAAGTCAAGTCTCCCTCTATCACCATGTATCCCCCCTTCACCCTCCTCCACTCTTCCTTACCCTCCCCACTGTTGTCTGTGTCCATGAGTATTTTTTTTCCAATCCCTTTACCACCACCACCCAGCCCTCCAAACCCTCACCCCAACAGCTGTCAGTGTTCTCTATCTATGAGTCTGTCTCTATTTTGCTGGTTAGTTCATTTTGTCCATTACATCTCATATGAGTGAGATTACATGCTACTCGTCTTTCTCTGACCGGCTTATTTCACTTAGCATAATGCTCTCCCAGGTCCATCCATGTTGTCACAAAGGGTACGATTTCCTTATTTTTTTACAGCTGAGTAGTATTCCATTGTGTAAATGTACCACAGCTATTTTTATCCATTCACCTACTGATGGACAGTTGGACTGCTTCCAAATCTTGGCTATTGTAAATAAAGCTGCAATGAACATAGGAATGCATAGATGTTTTTGAATTAGTATTTCGGGTTTCTTCGGATTTTTATTTTGGTGAAAAATGTGTCCTATTACCAGATAGTTTATAAACAATCATCATTCTATAACTGCCTCTTGTCCAGACTAGTTATATTAATTTATATAACATTCTGTAGAAACAAATAGCTATCATTTAATCATTTGGAAATTAAAACCATAACTTCAAAAGGTTTTTTTATGTGATCACATAAATCCTAGTGCTGGCTAGTAGGAAATTTAAATTCAGTGCATTATTGAGTATCTGCTACTGAATCTTTTACAAGATAATCATTTTAGCGTTGAAAAATCTTCATCGACAGCTCTTTAAGATAGATGTTATCATCATTTCACACAAGGAGAAATGGAACGATCAAATGTCTTTCTATCCTAGGAAATTAAACTTAACCCACATGTGAAACATAAAAAAAATATTAAAAATTTGGGACTATGAGAACAAGACTCACGAGTTATGATATATTCAATTACTTTGTGTACGTTTCCTGAGTCTGCATGTGTCCAAGTTCCTCTGGCTGCTTAAATTTCTTGTGAGATGGCATGTCAAAGGGGTAGCCCCTGCAAAGACTGGTGGCTGAGGGTGCATGAAAGGCAGGGCACCCTGGCCAGAACCTTGGGCTACATTGCCACCCACACCTCATTATCTAGAGCAGAAAGGTTTGCCAATGACTCTGTGTCCCTGTCTAGGGAAACCTCGGGATAGGTAGCTTCGTTATTTCCACACCAAGGAGTTCCAAGTCACATGAAGCAGACACCAACTGACTTGGATACCACACACACAACACAGAAAAGCTAACATTTAGCACTTCAGTGACTAATGTAGAGGATAAGGAAGACGGCAATTAATTTTAATTCTATAGAATAAACAGTTGCTGACTACCCCTTCCTGACAGGTGCAAGGTAAACCCAGGGTAAGAGCACCTGCACTCAGGGGCTCTTCACAGCCTCAACCAGCCGTCCAGGCCTCAGATGACCTGATTCTCATGGGCATCTCTCATCCCTCAAACACTATGGCTTATTTCTGCCCTGAGCCTTTACACCTGCTCCTTGTTTGCCTGAGGCACTCATTCTCCAGATCTGCATTCAGCTGATGCTGTCATATCTTTTAGATCATAGCACAGCCACCATACCCACCCAAAGTTGCAGTCCACCCCCTCTAGCTCTTCTGTTTCATCCTGTCCCTCTGCTGTCATTTCTTTATGGCATTAATGGCTGTCTGAGCTGATCTGTTATGTTTGTCATTTATTAAATGTAGTAGTTTTCTGGTGGAGTCTTTAGGGTTTTCTATGTACAATATCATGTCATATGCGAATAATGAGAGTTCTACTTCCTCCTTTCCAATTTGGATGCCTTTATTTCTTCTTCTTGTCTGATCCCTGTGGCTAAGACTTCCAGTACTATGTTGAATAAAAGTGGTGAAAGTGGACATCCCTGTCTTGTTTCTGTTCTTAGGGGAAACGGTTTTAGTTTTTGAGTATGATGTTGGCTGTAGGTTTGTCATATATGGCCTTCATTATGTTGACATATGATCTCTCTATTCCCACTTTGCTGAGAGTTTTTATAAAAAAAAAAGGGTATTAGATTTTGTTGAATGCTTTTTTGTGTCTATTGATATGATCATGTGGTTTTTGACTTTCAATTTGTTTAGATAATGTATCACATTTATTTATTTGTGAATATCATACCAGCTTTGCATCCCTGGAATAAATCACACTTGGTCATGGTGTATGATCTTTTTAATATATTGCTGGATCCCATTTGCTAATACTTTGTTGAGGATTTTAGCATCTCTGTTCATCAGATATACTGGCCTACAACTTCCTTTCTTTGTTGTGGTTTTACCTGGTTTTAGAATTAGGGTAATGCTGGCCTCGTAAAATAAGCTTGGGAGTCTTCCTTCTTCTTGAGTTTTTTGGAAGTTTGAGAAGGATAGGTGTTAGTTCTTCTCTGAATGTTTGGTAAAATCCACCTGTGAAGGCATCTGGTCCAGGGCTTTTATTTGTTGGGAGTATTTTTTATTGCTGCTTCCATTTCGCTAGTTGTAATCTGTCTGTTCGGATTCCCTGATTCTTCCTGATTCAGTTTTGGAAGATTGCATGATTTTAGGAACTTATCCATTTTGTCCAGATTGTCCAATTTGTTGGCATACAATCATTTGTTAATATTTTCCTAAAATCCCTTGTATTTTTGTGGAGTCAGTTGTTACTTCTACTCTTTCATTTCTGAGTTTGTTTATTTATTTGGGTCCTCTCTCTTTTCTTTTTCTTTCTTTCTTTTTTTTTTTTTTTTTGATGAGTTTGATTGAAGGTTTGCCAATCTTGTTTATCTTTTAAAAGAACCAGCTCTTGCTTTTCATTGATCTTTTGTACATTTTTTAAAGACTACTTCATTCAAGCTGGAGCAAGAGGGGTTCCTTGGCTTTCCTTAGTCACTTTCTCTTTTATTTCTAAAATGGAAATAATAACTGAATGTACAGGAGTGGCAGATCCACCTCCATGCACTGTGCTGGGACACCTGTGACAGAGTTAAGGGCAGGTACATATTTTTCTGGTGCCTTAAGTTTTTCCTCATATTTGTAGAAAATTACAGAAATTTTTGAAAATTTGTATAAATAGAAAGAAAAAAAATAAAACCTCATATTCTTCTCTTGTTACCAATTTCCATCTCTCTTCTATACTACATAGATATATAGATATGCACATCTGTACATCTCCTTAATTTCAAGATAATATCAAATTATTAACATCTTTTCCAGGAAAGGGGTAAAGATGGGGGGGGGGTACCACATTACATTAAATATACATTTCTAGATTTAAGAAAAATTAAAATTTGAAAAACAGATCTTAGAATTGAAACAATAAAATATTAAAAAAATGAACTGGAATCTACACACACACAATTGATACCCAACTTTTTCCATTTTTATATGTGATTATTTCTCCATGGCTTTGGGAGTCAGCGAGAGTGTCCTGCACACCACATTTGTGACAAAGCCCAGACATGAGGCCAGAGTATCTTGGGTTTGACCCTGACAAGCTCTATTATTCTCAATAAACTTATTTTCCTCATCTGTAAAGCAGAGTTGGCAATAACCCTTCACCTTATAGGATAGTTCTAAGGATTAAACACAATGACCAAGGTCAGGGTTCAGTTCCCTCCTCAGGGCACAGGGAGCACTCCTAAGTGATAATCTTGGTTTAATTAATTTTCCATTCCTCTCCACAGGGATCACCAGCAAGCGTTTTTCCAGCTCTCAAGACATAAAGGGCAATCCCAAGGGATGTCAAGGAGGGAAGGGAGAGGACAGGGTGACAGAGGGAGGTGGTCAGAGGGCACACCTAGGGAACAGGAGCATTGAGTTTGGCCAGGAAGAGTGGTGGGTGAGGAGGGTTGCCAATAAATCAGGCTGCCAAGGAAGGCAGGGGCCAGACCGGAGGGCTGGATGCTGAGACACGGGCAGGGGAACACCGGTGTTATCCTGTGGGCTGACACACAAAAGGCGGCACAAGGCTGTCAATGGCCTGGTGATGACTGTCACAAGCGCCAGCTGCAAGGACTGTTATTATTAGAGCATCATGTGGCAGACAGCAGAGCAGGCAAGAGCCTGCATGTGGGTGATAGACAGTTCAGGATTCAGCAAGGCCAGGTTGTTGCTCTAGAGCAGTGATGGCGAACCTATGACACGCGAACTTATTTTTTTGGTTGATTTTTCTTTGTTAAATGGCATTTAAATACATAAAATAAATATCAAAAATATAAATCTTTGTTTTACTATGGTTGCAAATATCAAAAAATTTCTATATGTGACATGGCACCAGAGTTAAGTTAGGGTTTTTCAAAATGCTGACACGCTGAGCTCAAAAGGTTCACCATCACTGCTCTAGAGCAAGCATGTCAAACTCGCAGCCCGCCATGAGGCATGCGGCCCGCCGGCTGCAAGTTTAACATGCTTGCTCTAGAGCCTGGAACAAATTCTTTAACTCCTCTGCACCTCAGTTCCTCCACTGTAAAATGGGCAATTACCTAGCAATGGAGAACTTCCACAAACCTTCGGCACAATGCCTGCCAGGGGCTGGCCGCTTATTCGTTCTGAGAGTGTACTAACAGCAATGCTAAAATTCCTGCCATCATTTCTAAGCAGGAGCCAGGAAAGGACCCAGCAGAATTTGAGCTCTGGTTTAAAAAGCGGCCTCACAGTGCATATGAAAGTTGAGTTTTGTCTTTCATGCCACACAGATCAGCTCTCAGTGCTGGTTCCATCACTTAAGCATGAATGGCTGTGGGATCATGACCTGATTTCCCTGGCCTTGCTTTCCCCTGGAGTGACACAGGGATTGTGACATCTACCTCAGTGCTGTCAGGAAGGTTAACCAAAGCACTCAGAGACTTTAGCATGAATCAGGCCCAGCATGAGTACCCAGTAAGTGGCAGTTCTTCTTTTCATTAACAAAGCAAAGGCAGAAAGATGTCCCAAGAGTGCCCAAAGCCCAGCAGGACCGTGAGCACTCAAGGTCATAACCAGGACTGTTATGTCTCTCCTAGTCCCACCTATGAGGCCAGAGCACAAAATCCCACTTTATTGTCACTCCTTCCAGGTGTCCTGCTTGCCACAGGAACTGCCCAGCCACCAAGGGAACCCAATTTGCCACTGAACTTGGTCTAGAAATGCTCAGACTGGAGGACCGGTTGCAGTGGCCAGTGGGGAAGCAGCCATTGGTGGCCTCTCCTGAGAACCTCACAGAACGTTCACCATGGCTCTCAGAAAAATATATATTTTTAAATTAAAAATACCCTTTTGGTGCCCTACTGGCATGGCTCAGTGGTTGGTTGCTGACCTATGAACCAGGAGGTCACGGTTTGATTCCCAGTGGGGCGCGTGCAGGAGGCAGCCAATTGATGTCTCTCATCATTGGTGTCTCTATCTCTCTCTCTCCCTTCCTTTCTGAATCAATAAAAATATATTTTTAAAATATACCCTCTTGGTAATGGAGGGGAAAATAAAGATGGGGCTAATTCAAATGAAAACTGGGTGAAAACCTAGAACATGGCTTAATGTCAAATGTATATCATGAGTTGGTAATACCTTCAAAGTGACACCTATCACATTGATGGCCTCTTTCAGCTGAGGATGGCTCGTACAGTGTGCAAGTTCTTCACATATCCAGACCCCGAGGGAGCAAATGGCAATGCATCTTTTGAGAAAGAAAAAGGAAGGAGATTTTCATGAAATTCAATGTTTTAATTTAATTCCTGGACCAAATTTTCTTGGTATTTTCAAATGACAAAATATTTTTAAGAAGTAGCAAAATTTACATTAACAAAATGTCTTCTTGAGAAAAAAAGGTAAGGTACCTTCCATAGACCAGTTTTCAGGACAATAAGAAATATTGAGAATGGTTAGTAGTTCAATATTTAATAAAATAAATGGTATATTTTCTTTTAATGTCACAGCCCATATATCAACCTATCTTTGTTGAAACTAATTTTAAGTACATTTTACTGCTTTGAGACATTTTTGAGGAAGATTAAAAAATGAGGATGTTAGAATATTGTTGGAAATTGAGTTTGTAATTGTTTTCCTTAAAATAAGATACACAACACCTATCACAAATAGAAGACAGATCCTATATTTTAGTGTAAAGAATATTTGAATACAACTTTCAAAACAAGTTTCACTGTTATTTCTCTTAAGCAATGTATTAAGACAGAATAGTTTTTGAGTCGCACAGTCCTTTACAAATTACTTTCTCAATTATAAATCAATTTTAAATGATAATTCTCATTGGAACTGATATGTTCCACTATCTTTTACAATAACCAAAAAAAGTCATATGCCTGTTATCTTTTTTCTTAATGCCGACATACACAATTAAAATATTTGCTCCCAAAACTGCTTATTTTCAGAACAAAAAGTGATTCAAACCACAACTCAGTCAGACATTGGCTGTAATATGTATCTGTTCTTTGTAATAAAAGGTCACATCCAGTGCCAATCACAATGGACATACTGCTCAGCTCTCTACACTGAAAGTTCATTTGTATTCAATATAAATCCACAATTAAAATCAATATATTTTGAGGTCTTAAAACCACCAGTTTCATTGGATTCTCATCTCTTTAAATTAGGATAGACTAAGTGCATCAGAACAAACATATTAAAAACCCTTTGAAGATTGTGTCACCTTCTACCAAAATTCACTCAGTAAAGCAGTGCAACTCAGTTTACAAGGTGTGCCCGGCCATTTCTGTTTCTCCAACACCAGCATTATCAGGAGTTCCACACTATTTTAACCCTGGATAGTCCTTCCTGTACAGAACTGTCTAAATCTATCTCTTCTCTTGCCTAATACCTTTGCTTATTCTCATCTAGAAACTGTACTTTGCATTCTTGGTTTGCATATAGCACTCTATATTCCCAGGTACTCTACACTTTTTTATTTTCCCCCAGATTAACCCAGACTCTGTTCAATCCACTAAAATCTATACAACTTGGAATTATATTAAAAAATTCATTTTTTACCATCTTAAGGGACTCTCTTTTTGTGTGCATGTGTGTATATGTTTAGGAGTGTGTGTATACAAATGGTTTTTTTACAACTCATTAACCTATTTGTCAAAGGTAATTTGTTAAGGGCAAAGATCTCTCATTTCTAGGACCTGCATTACTCTGTAACTATTAGCTTTGCACTATAGAGAACATTTGTGACCCATAAAATGGTTTTATAATCTAAACTACTCTCGCTTGCTTTGAGTTTTAAAGCCACAGTAGCTTGTAAGAGCTCTTCCATGCTATTTTCTCTCTTTGAAATTTATCATTTAACATTCCCATTTAGCATCTTCCAATTCTAATACTCTCAATTATCCCTCATGCCTAGGCTTTCCTGCCAATTAAGATTCTCTGTATCCCAAGTATGTCCTTTGTGATCCTTAATGAGTTTTATTTATCAAGACTTTTTTTTTTAGCTAATGGCAATACTGCCTTCACCCTTCTGCTGTATTCCACTATACTCTCTTGTTTGCTACCACCTCATACCAGTCCAATTTATACAACAAAACTTCTAATTTTGTCTTAATTTTTCTAAATCATCACTCACAAGTATACTATATTCTTTCTTAAGTCTCCTCCATTTATTTGAAATCTCAATCATATTTCAGCCTGCATGTTTATCTACACTTACATTCCCTTAATTTAATTATCTGATTCCTTTTATACACAACTAAGAAAGACTGACCATATCATAACATTTCTATCCCATTTATGACTCTAAAGAAATTTGACTCTCTACACTCAAGAAAAGGGGTTTGAAAAGAAGGTACTGTCAACACTTGTTGAAGGGTTCAATATGGTGGGTAAGGAAAAAGGAGAAATAAATAATTTTCTCCAAACTTCTGGATTAAAAAACGTAGTTAGACGACGGTACCATTTACTAAGATGCAGTCTGGGAGACAGTCAGAAGACTCAGTGGTTCATTACAGTGTATTAAGTTTGGATATGTTAAGACATCTAAGTTGAGATATCCAAGCAGTTTAATATATAAGCCTGAATATATCATGGGTTCCCAGTAGGGTCCAGGTAAATAAATTCAGTATCATTAGCAGGTAGGTGGGATTTAAATTCTAATTAGAATGAATAAAAACATCTAGAAGGTCATGGGGAGAGAAGAATCAAGTCACTCTAACATTCAGAGGTTTAGGGAGAAGAAGGAGAAAGGGAAAGAGCAGGTGTAGTGGTGGAGAAGCAAAACCAGAAGACTGCGTTTTAAGGAACTGGCAATGCTGAGGGTAAAGATAGACTAACTTCAGAATTAGTAAGGTAAGTATGCATATTAACATTTCTAAGGTAACCTCTAAAAAAAACTGAAAGAGTATCTATGACTTCCAAAAAAACAGGTGTAATAAATAGAATGTGGGAAAATAATCTGAAAAAAAAAAGAAAGAGAAAAAAGAAAAAGAAAACAAGGAAGGAAAGAAGAATGAATAGGAGGGAAGGAGGAAGAAAGAAAAAAAGGAGAGGGGAAAAATGAAGGCAAGAGAAGGGAGAAAATGAAATACTGGGAAGGGACAATAGCAAAGTTAAAAAAAAGATGAAAGATCCATAGTTTTTGCAAAAAGAGAATTTAAAAGAGAAGAATACAAAAAGGTTAAATTTAAAAGGATAGAAATTATTATTAAAAATAGCTGGATCAATATCAGACTAGGGGTCTTTAAGATAAAAAAATTACCCTTAGAGATCAAGAGGGTCACTACATAAATATAAAAGATTTAATTCACTATAGATCTAACTCAAGTTCTTTGCACCTAATAACATAGCTTCAAATTTATATATAACAAAAATGAACAGATATACAAGGGAGATTTTAATGTATTTTTCTCAGTAAATGATCAAGTGATAAAAAAAATTAAAAAGATTATGGAATATTTAAAGGACATTATTTAAAAATTAATAAAGGAGACACATCAAGAATACTATACCCAACAACTGGAGAACAGTGTATACATGCACTGTTTTTCAAGCATGTATGAGACATCTGCAAAAACTGACTACATACAGGGTCATAAGGCAAATTTCAATAATTTCTTAAGACTATTATCAGGGCAGACAGTATTTCTGACCCACAATGCAATTAACTCAAGAGTAGCAAAAAATAAACAGAAATAACCATGTTTGGAAATTAAGAAATATGTTTCTAAATAAATCATAACTCAATGAAGGAATCATAGTGGAAACTGGAAAAAATTAAGTGAAGCATTTTCCTGATATAATATTTGTTATACTTTTTAGTGTGTGTAAGGGTAATGTGAAAGAATGTGTTTAGTAACATTGTGTTAACACACAAATGTGTATCATAAAAATGTAAAAATTGTTTACATTTTATTCAACATTTACCTTGCACATTCACTTGGTTCCTCTGTGGCATTCTTCAGTAAAATATTTATGAGGTAATGCTAAAAAAAACCAACAACACAATTAAGTAAAATAAAAACTCTGCTTAGTAGTTGTTATCCCGCATGTTCTGGCTGTTCCAGGCAGTTAGGAGCTCCTAAAGGACCCGGGAACCTGGGGGAGGAACTATGGGACTCAGGGGGAGCCCCTGGGCAACTGAGCTGGTCTAGAGAACAGAATTCCTGGACATACAACAAAAATGTAGCAAAGCCAGCGAGACTTCCAGATAGGAAATCCCTGGTTTTCTTTTACTTTAATTGGATTACATATAGCACACTCAATTAATTATTGTAATTATATACTACAGGTAGATAGATTGATTGATTCTGAGATTTAAAATGCACTTTTGTTTGCCCCAAAATCAGCGGAGGCGAGAACAAATGTTTACTTTTATTCTTTAAGGAATAATTTGGAATTTCAATCCAGATAGGAAATCCCTGGTTTTCTTTTACTTTAATTGGATTACATATAGCACACTCAATTAATTATTGTAATTATATACTACAGGTAGATAGATTGATTGATTCTGAGATTTAAAATGCACTTTTGTTTGCCCCAAAATCAGCGGAGGAGAGAACAAATGTTTACTTTTATTCTCTAAGAAATAATTTGGAATTTCAATTTATTAGTAGGAATTAATCAGGGCGGCAATGAAATTGAATATGTAGCTTATTTCAATTACTGTTTTAAATAAATTCATTTGATGTGCTAACGCAGCATAATTAAACCAATAAAATTATTATAAAGGATGATTCATTACATAGTTATCACCCAGAGGCATGATAAACAGATCTAATAAAAAATACCCGAGGAACCTCTCCGTTTTAACTATAGTATTCTCTGAATCTCATACCTTTAACCTCCCTAAAACAGCCCTCTAAAAAACACAACTATTGAAACATTTACTTGACATAGCAAAACTTTCAGATAAGCAGGTCACTGTGTAATAATGGAAGAGATAGCTAGCCATTGAGCTAGAATGGCAAAGTTCTAAACTTGAGATTTAGTCAACTGCATTATGTACCTTGACATCTTCGGTTCCTGCGATGACTTCACCAACTTCCGGCACGGACTGCAGCAGAGGGATCTCCTGGTAGACGTTGGGAAAGCAGACGAGAGAACCGAGAATGGTGAGAGCTTCTGAACGAGGGGCCTGCACACAGGAAAGGGAAACACATTTTTCTTCTTATAAGTTAGAAACTTTAGATAAGAGACAACATGTCTTACTTCTTTTATGACCATGAAAGGGAATCTTTGTAATTATTTTATCTTAGATAAAAAACATCAAACTATGCCTGGTTATTCTCCTGCAGGTGAATACTTACTTAAGCAGGAGAGGTTTGCCTAAATGAAAAAGCTAACTTCCACAGAATGAAAAATATCACTATACTTGGATATAAACAAGCATTGTGAGTGGTCTGCCGATTGACTCTCTCATGACTGCTTTCCGTTTTTGTGGGTTTTTTTTAATCTTATGTTCTTGACAAAGCAGGGTAAATTATATCAACTTAATATTAGTTTTGCTATAAAGACGGTTAAGGAAAATTCAAAAGGAAAAGGGGTTGGGCTATCAGAAGGTAGAGAAAGAGAGAAGACACCATCTACTTAATTTCCCATTTCACCAAGAAATGCTTAGCAAAATATAGTGTCTGACATACAGTGAGGTACGAGACCACTTGTTTGTCATTACTGGAATTAGGTATACAGTGGAACCTCAGTTCTTGAACTTAACACATTGTGGACCAGTAGTTTTAGTGCTAGCTTTAGCCAGTGGCCAGATAAGTTTCTATTGAATGAGTACAAAAAAGGTTGTACATAAATGTTAAAGGCACGCTTTAAAATTAAATACCCATTGCATTTTAAAGTTATTACATGTTCTTATAAGCTAATATCTTCTTAAAGTATGAAACTTTGTAAAACACTGTGTAATATGAAGCAAGAATTCTCGTGATCCATCCTCAACGTGTTAATTCAGTTCCAGAAGGCTGTTCAAGAATCAATCTGCTCGAAGACTGAATCATTTTTTCCCATTAGAAATAATGTACTAATAAATTGAATTACTTTGTACCAGACCCCCAAATGATTCCGTTTTAACCTTTCTTAGGTGTAAAATTATAATATTTGGCTTTAGATGTCTAGTGCATTGTTTAATCTATAAGCAAACAGTACATGTCTAATGTATTGTTTAATCTATAAGAAATACTTCTTTTCTTAACTTTATCAAACGACCCCCTACTAGCCTTAAATGAATCACTTCCAGCACTCATTCTAGGGGTGTCTTTCAGGAAGCTGGCATGCAGCATCTTAGCTTTTTCACTTATCACGCCTCCAAAATGCTGTTACAGGCTAACTGCTTTTTCTTTATTCAAATCAACAACAGTTTTGGGTTTTCTTTACCTCTTCAATGGCCTGTGATCAGTTTCTTTTACATCCTTAGCAATAGCACTTTTAATGGCCTGTTTATGTTTAAAGATTGTGCTAACTGTCTATTTCACTAGCAACAGAAATAAGCAAACAAAAATAAACAAAAACCTCATAAATATATTCACAGAACAATTTCCCGAAACATTAACAAGGCAATACTTAGGTCTGACAAAATAGACTTCTAAAGAAAGGCCATAAAAAGAGACAAAGAAGGTCACCACATAATTCTAAAGGGTTTGCTACAACAAGAAAATATAACCCTTGTAAATATATAGACACCCAACATAGAAGTACCTATATATATTTTTTAAAGTCTTGGAAGACTTTAAGGAAGAGATCGATAGCAATACAGTCATAGTAAGGGACTTTAACATCCCAATGACATCACTGGATAGTTATACCAGACAAAAATCAACAAGGAAACAGCAAACTTAAATGATACAATAGATCAGATGGATTTAATTGATATCTACAGAACATTTCATCCCATCCAAAACTGGCATTCTTCTTAAGTGCACATGGAACATTCTTAAATGCTAGAAAAAAAAATTCTTAACAAATTTAAGAAGACTGAAATCATATCAAGCATTTTCTCAGATCACAATGGCATCAAACTAGAAATCAACTACAATAAAAACATTCAAAAACATTCAAGCACATTGAGGCTAAATAGTATGTAAGAATGAATGGATTACCAATGAGATCAAGAAAGGTATCATAAATTTCCTGGAAACAAATGAAAATGAACATACAACAACCCAAAATCTATAAGCAATAGCAGAAGCAGTCCTAGGAGGGAAGTTCACAGCATTACAGGCCTACCTCGAGCTACAAGAAAAAGCTCAAATAAACAGTTTAATTCTATAACTAAAAGAATTATAAAGAGAAAAACAAGAAAAGTGCAGAGTAAGTAGAAAGAAGAAAATAATAAAGATCAGAGTAGAAATAAATGACATAGAGACTAAAAAAACAATAAAACAAAAAAACAATACAAAAGATCAATGAAACCAAGAGCTGTTTTTTGAAAAGATAAGCAAGATTGACAAACTTTTCATCAGACTCATCAAAAAAAAAAAAGAGAGAGAGAGAGAGAGGACCCAAATACATAAAATCAGAAATGAAACAGGCAAATAACAAGTGACATAACAGAAATACAAAGGATTGTAAGGACATAGTATGAACAACCATATGCCAACAAACTGGATGACCTGGGTGAAATGGACAAATTCCTAGACACACATAATCTTCCAAAACTAAATCGGGAAGAATGAGAAAACCTGAATAGGCAGAAGCTGTAATGAAACTGAAGCAGTAATAAAAAATATCCCAGCAAACAAAAGTCCTGGACTGGCTGGCTGAGCACAATTTGCAAACACTGGATGCCCACTCCAGAGCTATGCCAATGAAGTCTGTTCAGGAGGAAGTTCGGAAGTGGTGACTCACCAGGGTATCTTGCAGCTGACAGATGACAGGCAAGACATGTTAGTTATGAGGTAGTTACAGCCTTACTCTCTTTCTAGAAAGAAGCAAGAAGTTAAGAAATTCCTTGAATTGCACCTGGTGTGTCAGGTGAGAGTGCCGAGGAGGGCTGTGAGAGGAGTGTCAGAGGACCCGGTGGTCAGGTGGGTTGGACATTATTAATAATCATGGTTGGCTTCTAAATACTGGTAGCAAGATGATTTCTGATTTGTAATCTTAGGTAAATTATCCTATATAATAAAAGCCTAATATGCTAAGTGTCCGGTCGTCCCTTCAACCAATCAAAGCATAATATGCTAATGTATGCTAAGGCCGCTCAACTGCTTGCTATGATGTGCACTGACTACCAGGGGGCAGTTATCCAGTCGCTATGACGTGCACTGACCACCAGGGGGGAGACGCTCCGACTGGTAGGTTAGCTTACTGCTGGGGTCCAGCCAATCATGACTGAGTGAGACAGGCCGGACATGCCCTGGAGCCCTCCTACTGTCCCTCCCTAGCTGGCCAACCTCTCGAGTCACTCCCCGGCCACGACTGTGTACCGGTGGGGTCCATTGGCTTGGCCTGTGCCCTCTTGCAATCCGGGACCCCTCGGGGGATGTCAGAGAGCCAGTTTCAGCCCGATCCCGCAGGCCAGGTGAGGACCCCACTGGTGCACAAATTCGTGCACCGGGCCTCTAGTAGATAAAAGGAAAAGGCCAGTAATCATACACTAAGGCTAATAAACAGCACTTCCAGTTGAACAGCATGAGAGTTGTGCTTGCAGCAGGGTTTCACAAGACAAGGCACCCAGATTTTTTCTTCTCATGTCTGGTTTGCAGAGCAGCTTCCATGGCCATTTCCAAAACTTCCCTCACTCATCTTCGGTCTTTGCTGAACATTCCATGTAATTAAAAGCGCCAATGCTATGTGCATATCTCTGCCTTCTTCCGGGTTTACCGGCTCCTGCTTCATCCAGCTAGCTCCTGCCCTGAGTGCTTATCATTCCAAAGATCCTTCTTGTTCCCAAACAGGATGATGGGCAGGTTGGGACAGAAATGCTTGACTTTCAGAGTTCATTTTTGTGGGATGTTCTCTAAACTATCAGGATTATCAATGGAGAAACACATCAGTATAACATCGGTGTCCAGGAAGGAGAGGGGCCTCAAGCAATCATAATCTCCCTGCCCAGCTGTGTCCCACAAAGCCAACTCTACTTGCTTTCCATCCACTTCAACATCGGCCACATAGTTCTCAAACACCGTAGGTACATACACACCTCTGGGAACTAACTGGGCCTTGCGAAAATGATGAGAAGCAAGTCTAGCCACAGGCTCCATCACCAACAATCACAAATTTCTTCTGGATGGCAGGCATTGCTTTCTAATGTGGTGCCAGGCCTGTGTGGCAGAAGTTCTACAAAGTGCCTTGAACATCTCAGATGAAAAGCACTCAGGCAACAGCTCCCACTGCAGCCTGGAGACTAGGGCAGGTGGCTGAGGAGACAGCAGTGGACTAATGGGAGACCCGACAAGAACAGCAGCGGCAGGGGGAGCTCGAGCAAGCAAGGGTGGACCATGGTAGACCAGTAAAGCTAATTTTGTTTACACCATTTGAAGAGGAAAAAATGAATCTGAAAAAGTAACAGTTATACTGAGCACAAATGTGAGAAGCCCTTTAAATTTAAATATATAAGACTGTTCTCTCGAAAGACACTGAGACACTGCCTTAGTAGGTGAGGTACATGTGGAGATTATAAATAAATTCTTTTTGTAGCTCTGAATACCCATTTAGTCAGTCTACTTTCTTCTAATTTTTTAGTACAGGAATTCTGCACATTAATAAGAAAATATATATTCATTTTCTAGTTAAAATGTTAGTGTTCTAACATTTAAAAACATTTTATACTAGACTTGTAACAACTCATACAATAATGAGAAAAACTTTATTAATAATGTACACTCGCCTTGGCCAGTGCTGCTCAGCGGTTGAAGCGTCGGCCAATGCCCCGAAGGGTTGTGGGTTCGATTCCTGGTCAGGGGCATGTACGTAGGTTGCAGGTTGGATCCCCAGTTGGGGCATGTGTGGGAGGCAGCCAATCGATGTGTCTCTCTCACATTGATGTTTCTCTCTTTCTTTTTCTCCCTCTCCCTTCCTCCCTTCCACTCTTTCTAACAATCAATGGAAGAAATACCTTTGCGTGAGGATTAACAAAGAAAATAACAATGTACACTCAAAATTCTATCTTCATTATGGACATCTCTTTATGCTCTAACATTTTAAGAAGACAGTTCTTACTAGACTTCTAATAACCAAGAAAATAATGAAAAACAAACATTACTGATAATAGAAACTTAAAATTCTCTCTTTATTATAGACATCTATGCCTGTGCCATTTACTAGCAAATGCTAGTAAGATTCTAAGAGACAAGTCCTGCTTCTGACTGTGTGAATGTGCTGAAAATATTAGTGAGGATGATTTTTCACACTCTGGCCTTTTGATGAAACGCCTTTCCAATAGCAGTGTGTCATCTTATCCTACAATTTCACACATCAGCTGCCAGGGCATCTACCCGAGAGCCCAGTTTCACATTGCACTAATGAGTCAACACCTGTTAAGAGTGGAGAAATCTGAACCTTGTTAGCGACTGTGAAGCCTCCTGGGAGTGTGAATGCTGAGCATTGTCATACTCACCGCCAGCATGTCTGTCCCGAGGACCCTGGCAGCAGCCGTGATGAAGTCCCCCACCAGCATTGAGAAGCCAGGCAAACCCAGGGAGAAAAAGCGGGGCGGACAGTGCCTTATAATGGTATTTAAGATATCCTAAAAGGGAAGGGGAGAAAACACAACGGTCATTTTCAAGAACAAAATTCCAAAGGAGGCAGTTAGTCTGCACATGACCCTGCGTGGTAACCTACGAGGGCGCAGATCATAGAAATGTCTCAGTGAAACGGATACTCGGAGATGAGTTCGTCCAAGAGCTATTGTACCATTTTACAAGTAAGAGAATCGAGACACTGCCGAAACCGGTTTGGCTCAGTGGATAGAGCGTCGGCCTGCGGACTGAAAGGTCCCAGGTTCGATTCCGGTCAAGGGCATGTACCTGGGTTGCGGGCACATCCCCAGTGGGAGATGTGCAGGAGGCAGCTGATCGATGTTTCTAACTATCTCTCTCCCTTCCTCTCTGTAAAAAATCAATAAAATATAAAAAAAAAAAAGAGAGAGAGAGAATCGAGACACTAAACTGTAAGACGACTTGCCCAAAATCTGAATTGTGGCGTTGGGACTAGACACTTATGTCTTCCACCTACAGGTGAGCTCCTTGGACAAGCTAAAGGAGCGTTGAGGTAAATATACAAATAAGACCTCTGTTTATATATCCCTTTCCATATTCTTCGATTTTCAAAAGTTCAGCATATTGTTACGTTAAAAAATCTTAAAGCAGACAGAGAATGGAAATTTTTATTCATTCATCGGGTGGTTCCACATTAAACAATTTCATGAGCCATGAGAATGCTGTGATCACACTCCAAGGGCAGGAAGTTGGTGTGGCTCCGAGTGTAAGTGTGATTGCAAAGTACAGTGCAATGTGCAGCAGTAGCCTCTTCACAGCATGCAGGCCACCAACCGCCCGGACACCTGGTGCTCCTGTGTCTGCCACAGCCTCTCCCTGGTGGGTGGCTGGCTGGCCCATGGCAGACCAGAACAGGACGCCACTGGCCACTGGACAGCATTAATGCCACCCATGGTCAGGCCACAGCTATGAAACCATCTGTGTGAGTGTGTGTATGCAAAGGGAGCTTAGTAAGAAAACCAAAAACGTTTTTTATGCAGTTCTAGGCAATGCACATTAATCAAACATGCAAAAGTACTATAGTTATGTTACTTGTAGGTATACAACCTATAGTTAGTCTCAAAAAGCAAGAAGCAAAATTTTTAAAAATCTGGTTTCTTTTCTCAGATTTTAGTGTGGCTATTTCAAAAACCCTTCAAAATAATCCAAATTTCATTTGATTAAATTAGAGCAAGGAAGTAGCAACATGCCGCATTCTAAAAAAGTCCTTTGTAATAAAAATAACCTCACATTGTCTTATCTAAAAAGAGTTTTTTACATTTAAGACTATTTTTTTTCCTTACACAGTGGACTCATTAAGTTTCTAAAAATTATGCTGTTTTTATATTCTATCTTTCAAATTACTGTACAATGCTTATTCTATTAGAGCTCATATATGTATGATAAAGAGTTCAGCAAGTACTAAAGTTTTAGAATTTCAGCAAGCTTTTTCCTATGCTAAACATAAATAGGTAGATAGATAAATAGATGGAATAACAGATAAAAGGAAGGAAGGAAGGAAGGAAGGAAAGAAAAACCTGAACCACACTTCTTGCAAGTTAATGTTTAAACCTGCTTTAATCACGTCCTTTGATACACTTTAGCGTCCGTATCAGCCAAGACAAACATTCTAAGGGACTGAGCAGATGGATGCTGCAGTTTAGAAAGTGTGTGGTAAACTCATGCTCCAAGAGTGGAACAAAAGATCCACCTTTTTCATAATTAAGCCTCTGATTAATGCCCTGGGCTCCTCACCACACACCTGTAATTACTCACAGAGGTACGCATTGTGCTGGCCCTTGTCTCAGAATATCAGGCATCAAGCTATCCAGCAGCAGATGGGAGCACATTTCTGTTGACATATGCTGCAATGAAAGGATTCGTGCAAACCTGGCTAGCAAGGTAGCAGAATGCCATGCATTTGAAGATTAATAATGCAAACAACCATGATGTTAACTTTGTTATGTTTATAGTGTTAATTCCATCTGTTGAGATGAAGAACTAAGCCTTGAACACTATAGATTTTTAAAGTCTTTAGCCCACACTTGAATAAACCATTTTCACAACTGGAATTCAGAATTTTAATTATAAAATGTTTTTCTGGGATAAGTTTATGGTAATTATGAACTAAATCCTTTAATAAGCTAAAGCTGAAATTTGTAAATGAAATCCATTTTGCTTCAAGAGATTCATATGTGTAAAGCAATGACCTGTAAATGGGGCATTCACAAAAAATCACTACGTTGGCATTGATGCTAAAGACAGCAGAAATGTGTGTAGCCGAGGTAAAGTCGCACGGCCCCCCTACCTCTGGACCGTGGCCAGTCACATCAACGGAACCTGTTTCTATGGGCAAGAAGATTGGAAAGAGAGTGCAAAATAACAGATGGCTAGCCTACCCTGCCCTGCCACCCACATAAGACGGAGCCCCAATGAGAAGCAAGGGCCTGTGCTGCCCTGGCCAGCTAAAGATGGCACTGGAGTAGGTTAATGTGCAGGTTAAAGAGGGGAATATATGGCCAGTCAGCCAAATTATGGCCATCTACCTGATAATTTTGCTTATCCACACTGAAATAGAACAACCCAAAGATTTTCTCTTCGTGAAGACATTTTAAAATTAGGAAAAACTGTATGGTACTCAAAAGGGAGCAGCTGTGTTTTCCCAGTAAAGGGTCATCCACAAAATACTCCCCTCATTTCCAGTAGAATCCTCTTTCACCTTCATGGCTATAACGGGGATCTTTGGGAAAATAAAAAAATCTCAACACTCTGAACCTTTCTTCATAGCTTCCCAAATGTCAATTATTCATGTACAACCTCATGCTATTGACATGTCCACATCCAAAGTGAATATTATTTATCTGTTTTTCAAAGTAACACATTTTTTTGAACTTAAATAAGATTATTCTGGAAAACTAGTAAGTTGTCTCATAAACAGAAAATAACCCTTAGATCAATACAATAACAGCAAACCAAGACTACTGAATTTTTGCTAACTGTCGCTGTCTGATGGAGGCTCTCCTTGTTAAAAAGTGGTTTGCATCCTAGAAGGATAGGAGAGAGGTTCTGAGTTCTGTACCCACTCCAGATGTACTACCAAGGCGAGTCCCAAGGACTGGAAAGGGGCCATTATTCCCACCATGCAATTTGATGCTAGTGCTACCTTCATTGTGACCACCAGTGGGAAATGGCCCGCTAGAACTGGGGCCACTAGAATATGTGATCATGGCAGAGCATGTCTAGAGCTTCATGTTTCTCTTCCATAAAATGGGATGATTTCCCTTTAGAGAGCTGTGTCTAATGGTACACTAGATATGAACACAGTCCTCTGTAAAATGAAAAGGGCCATACAGAAGTAAAGACTGACAAGTGAAAAATTTTTTTTTGTCACAAATGGAAGGACTATGAAAGATTTCACTTTCTAGAAGTCACTTTGTAGACTTATGTGAACTATTGTTTTGCTGATATTCAGAAAGAAGATTTTAAAACATTTCAAAAGGTGGCACATATAAGTTTCTTAAATTACATTACCCCAGAAATTAAAAACCTCTAGAAATTAATACTTTAAATAACATCCTTAGCAAAGCATTACAACAACTAGCCAGAGTGTATAGGTGAAATAAAAACAGGGAACTGATGTTTTTAGATTTTCTAGGCTCCATTTTTTTAAGGAGTTCAAGAATTTATCCCAAACAAATTAATCTAGTAGCAAAAATTAGTTTCTTTTTCACACTCTACACAGACTAAAAACAATAAGCTAAACAATAAGTTCAATGAAAAATTTACTTTAAAACAGAAATTGTTCACTCTTGAAAACTGACCAGTTTAAAACATAAACAAAACTCTTCAAAGGAAATAAAATTCATTCTTCAAAATGTTGCAATATAGTGAACAGACCACAAAACTGGTATTTTTCTCTTGTTTTTGGTTGAAAGTCCACACACATGCTACACCGAATGTGAAAACCAGACTGTAAGATGGTAATTGTGAATTTGCAGTTTATCAAAACATTCAGGTTTATGAGAAAGTAACTGGTGAGAACATCTGTCTCTTATCACCGATCTTACAAAAAATCAGGTAATTCAAACAGAGGCGTGTTGTTTCCTCTCCTCCAAAGCACAGTTCTATAAACACAAACCACATTCAGCCCGGTAAATGAATCGCTTTAATTGAATGCTATGTACACAGTAACTGGAAAAACCGTAAGTGATAAGAAAAAAACATATGGTGATGGCAACAGAAATTGGTTTATTCATTTTGCATAGTGTAGTTTCTTTAGTTCTCTTATAATTGACCTTTAGAACGACAAATGTGTAAAATAATTTTGTTTATTATGGTTCCAAACCTTCCAACAATTACACAAAATGAAAATTTAAAAGGAAGGATTCATTCTGGAAGCATTTCCATTGTTTACATAATTGCACAGCTATAATTTAGTGCTCGTGTTGTTATGGGGAGAAAGGGGCCATTACAGGCCATTTCAATTCAAAATATTGCACAGTGGTGTCAAAAATGAGGGAAAAATGTTCACTTTAAAATAGTTTAAAATGGATTAACCCTGTAAACAAAGACATTTCAATATATTCTACAAAATACAAATGTTCAAGAAGTTGCTATCCTTCAAAAAGAATTAGAAATATTGCAACTGTACTTTCACACCAATTACATATATATTATTCACTTAATATTTGCTCAGGGCCCAGCAGATGATGGCTGTAACATAATAGCCAGCCATCTGTCTCCCTGCCTCTCCTTGGCGAACTCGCCTGATCCTCGGGAGCAAACAGATCCGGTTATTCCACCTAAAGTCACTCGGACCTTCCAAAGGCCAAGCAGAACAGTTAAGAAATAAAACCTATGTATGCAAAATCACTGAATTCCTCCTTTAACTGTCTACTTTAAGAAAACCAAAATGCTACACAATAAATGACTTCATTGTTATTTTTCAGAGAAGATACCTGTCTTTACTATAGAAAGTTTTATAGGAAGC